TCAAGCTCCAAAATCGTAAGTAATCCTTCCTAGCTTGTTGTTTAACTTAACATGCATGCAAATCTGTGGGTTAAACTCTCCAAAGGACCCAAAAACTTGTGTTTACGGTTTGGGAACACCTCCCAAAACCGTAAACTCCCAAAAGGGGGGTTTGAAGCCCTAAAACCCTTCCAAACCTCTTCTAGTGTTTAGCTATGGCTTAGAAACTTGCATGCATGAACTTAGAACCCCAAGATCATGACTTTTTGGGGGTAAACATGAGTTTACGGTCCATGAACATTCATGAACCGTAAACACCCCAAAATGGGGTTTTGATGCCCCAAACCCTCTTCAATGCTTGGCTAATGACCTAGAAACTTGCTTGAATGATCTTACAACCCTAAAACATGGATTGAGAAGTGTAAACATGAGTTTACGGTTTGGGAAGGTCTCCCAAAACCGTAAACACCTCCAAAGGGTGTTTAAGTGCCCTTAACACCTTGTATGGCTTACATTTGGGTCTAGAACCTTGCATGCACGACCTACAACCACCAAAACACATGAAAAATGGACACACATGAGTTTACGACCGTAAACCCATGTGTTTATGATCGTAAACTCCCCAAGGAGTGGTCCAAGGACCGTAAACTCCAAGAAGTGTCCATTTCTAGCCCCAATCACTTCCTAAGCCATGAATTCGAGTCTAGCATAATTCCTTGAGTAGTTTAAGACCTTTGAACACCCAATGGCACCATTACCATGAGTTTACGGCCATAAACTCATGGGGAAAACGGTCCAAAAACCGTAAACACACTTAAGTGTAACCAATTGAAGTGTAAACTCCATAGTGAGGCCATACACTCCTTAGATGCAACCTTTAGCACTCCTTGCACTTGAAACAAAGTGTCTTCATGCATTAGAGTGTCTTTACTTACCTAATTAGTGATTAAACAACTAATTAGATACATTTATGTATCACTACATGTTACATAGGCTCTGTGTGTGTGTTCAAGTCCTCACTTGACACCTAGCATCCTACTCGACACTTCCATCCACTTCACTCATTGCAGGTGAGTTCATACCCCTTAATCAACCTTTTAAATGTTTTTAAATGCTTTTATGGGGGGGGAATACAAGTTGAATCAATCAAGTTATAGTATCAATCACATGTGATTTATAACTTGCAACCAAAAGGATTTTTTTATACTTTTAACTGCTTTACTAATAAAACTGCTTTAAGCGTTTATCAAACTCATTTTCATGATAAATTGTTATAAAAATATTTCTAAACTCTTTTAAACTCCTTCTGTTCACAAACCATATCTACACCAATATATTTATATAAGTAAGACGTGAAGGACTTAGGACTGATAACTCACCTTACTTCCTGTTCTTGTTTGATTGTGGACTTAGGGTATATTGTTATCTGTCCGACTGTCGTTGAATTCCTAGTTATATATTATATATATTCGTGTTGAATATTAAAGTCTTCATTTCAGTTCAATACCTTTGTGTATCAAAGGCATGCAACCAACCTTACTATTTAACTATAATAGGTATAGTTAAGGATTACTACTCGTGTATACTATTACAATGGTACCTACCAGAGTCCGAACAGTTATGAGTCAATACATGTTAAACACTATAAAAAGAGAATACTATATACTATACAAGAGAACACTCTATACACTATACCAGAAAGTACATTATACATTATACAAAGAGAACATACTACAACAAAATGTGACATACTATCTCTCGATACGACACTTCACTGTGCTATCATCGTGTAACCAGAGTCTCCTGGAGGGAGAGCGGGCATTATGTGTATAGATCTATATGGGACAGACACTCCCATATCCCGACTGCTAGCTACAGTCTGGGCCGACTAGGCCCAGGGGTGACAAAATGTCACATTTCTACAGATGACTCGGAGGGTCATCAGGGATTCGATCGTCAATCAGCATGGTTACATACAAGTTCACATTTCGACCTTTAATTAATACATTAAGAATTAAAGGCAAAACAGACTCCCCGAGGTGTATTGTACATTTAATACTACCTGGAGTCTGCATTTTCATTTCATTAGCTGGCAGTGATACTGCTGGGGTAAAACACACTATTTTCCCAATTACTTTACATGAATGAAGTCTAAAACTATATTTTCCTACTAATAGTTTCTCTGGGAAAACTTTTACATTTTCAAAGGATCAAACATACATACAACCGGGTCTTGGTAGAAGACCACTTTTACTGGAAAACATAGGGTTTTCCTAGGGAGCATACTATTTTCCAACATTGAGATCAATTATTATACTACATGGTTGTAATCATTTTTATACAAGCAATGACACTAAATACTCATGAACTCACTAGCTTTATGCTGATACTCGCTTTCGAGACAGGTACAGATGCAGCTTTTGAGAAGATGGAACACATACAAGACTCTTCTTTATTTTGATTATACTTTTGGTGTCTAACATACTATACAGAACACGCTTGTATTACAATTATTATATTAATGAAATGGATGTTGTTGCTTGTCTTTACTATTATGCATTGTTATGATACTGTACATGACGTCCTCCACCCCAGAACGTATTCCGCCGTTCTCGGTTTTGGGGTGTGACAGATTGGTATCAGAGCATTGTTTATAGTGAATCGAGTATATCAACCCATAAAAGATATACAAACTATAAACACATCGGGATTAAAACACTCTGAACAAGAATATATACTTTTTAAATAATAAAATATTTAACTAAGTATATATATGTACAATCCATTCATACAAAGGGTCAGTATCATACTAGTGTTGGATTAGTGTCTAAGTCCGTAACTATATTTGGTATGTACTTGACCCGAGTGTGCATGGTCCTTTTGGGTTGCCTTCACCAAAGCAACTTGACAAGGTAATTTGATATGAGAGAGAAGATATTATGGTTTATTAATATATTATAAGAATAATATATTAAAGGAGAAATCATATTTATTTAATTAGTATTAGTCATAAATTAATTAGGAATTAATTTGGTGACTAAAAGAGATTAATTAAATAAAGGGGTATAAACTGTCAAATGTGTGATAGTTGAGTTTTGGGCTGGGAAACCTAATGGACTAAGGGGGAACGAAATTATGATGAGGGATCATCATATTTTCGTCCAAGGGCCTCATTCCAGAAGGTTCCTTGGGCTGCTTGGTGGCTAAGCTATCCATTAGGGTTTAGACTAAAACCCTAGTACCCTACAGTATAAATAGATGCCCTATGCTTCAATTTTAGGCCACTTGATTCCAAGGGAAACCCTAGGGCCGAAATTAGCATCCTTCCCCTCTCTCTCTTAATTGCCTTCTTGCTTCAAGGTGTTTGTGAGCCATTAGAGGCACTACAATTGTGGTGCTTGCTTTCAAGAGTTCAAGAGATCAAGGAAACTAGTTGTTATTGCTATATATATGAAAATTATAGAAGCATGCTAGGGTTTATTTTGTGTTCATATAGTTGTATGTCTTATAGTGAAAACATAGATCCAATTAGGGTTGCATGCACACATAGGATTGTTTGTATAAAACCTATTAGTGGTATCAGAGACTTTGGTTTTTGTTTTCAATTTGATTTGATACATATTATGAATTTGACAAATTAGGGTTTATGGCAAGTAAACCCTAAGGCTTGGTGTTTTTTCGAAAATAGGGTTAAGAAACCCTAGTTGGCGATTTTTTTGTAGGGTTCTTAAACCCTTTTGCCTAGCCTCCAAATTTCGAAATTAGGGTTATGAAACCCTAGGGATTTCGAAAATCCCTTGCCCCCCAAGACAAGATCCCAAAATTTTAGGGATTTGGATAATGCCATCTTTGTGATTATCAACTTAATTGTTTAAACTAGATAATTGAAGATCTTGAATTATCCTTTCCATAAATTTCGAAATCTAGGGGATAAAAAGGATTAGGATAAATTAATTGTTTAATTTTATGATAATCCTTCATGATTTAATAATTTAAATTAATTGTTTAATTTTGATAATTATTAAATCAAAGATTTTTTGGTGTTTAAAATTTTAAATTAAATTGTCTAATTTTCGAAAATTTTAAATGCAACAAAGACACTAGTATTTTAAAATGTTTTAAAATACACCCTTATACAATTATGATATTATAAGATTAATTATTATATATATGTATAAGAATAAGCTTGTCTTATCGCTAGTAGGCCTCATTCACGAAGCCAGTCTATAAGGTGGGTATAAGGTTGCTGCCTATAAAATGGCGCTTAATGGATGTACACTCACATCTACCGCTTGCTTGACTGGTGGAGGGTCGTTAGCCGAACGGATAGGATAGGGCACTTAATTCCTCATTATAAGTATAATGGAAATATTAAAGTAACTACATTGTTTTACAAATTCCCACTCTTAGTTACTTTAGGGTAAAATGTGAAAATGATGCTATTCCATGGAATTACACTTTGTACCCCTGTCAAACGTTAGTGGAGCGTGCGTGGTTAACCAGCACACTAATTTGGGATTGACATTGGTGACAAAGGGTGGCTCGATGTCTTATCATAGATCAATGGAGCGTGCGTGGCTAACCAACACATTGATTAGGTGATGAAGACATTGAGTGCACCATGATGATTCGCATGGTTATTCACAAACTTGTTTGCGATCCTCGGCATCCCAGTCGCAAATTTGAAGTGCATATCGAGATTTAAACATGCCATTGAAATTTTCAATGAATCTCAAAAGAAATCTAGGAATTTTCAAATACATTTAAAACTTAACCTCTTTCGTTTTTCATGGTGAAAATTAGTGAATCGTCATTCACTTACCTTCAAATTATCTACTTTTAGATTACGGCATCCCTTTTCTAAGTTGTAAATAATGTTGTTGGATCCTAGCCCTAATTTCTCATGTGGGTGTTTAATTAGGGATTCATTCTAATCAAACTTTGTTCCTTTCTATTTCAGATGTCAAACGCAAACGCAAACAACAACACTTCTGGGTCATTCTCGTTGATGAACCTGTGTCAAAAGTGACATTTGATGGCTCGAACTTCAACGAGTGGATGAGATACATTCGCATGATAACTCGTTATGAGGACAACAGATATGTCCTAGACGAGAAGCTTGAAAGGATCAACCCAGAAGAAGCTACTCCTGAAGAGATGGCCGCCTTTGAGGCCCACGAGCGTGATGCAACGAAAGTTCATTGCATCATGTTGGCCACCATGAACCTCGAACTCCAAAAGTCCTATGAGGACATGTATCCATATGAGATGCATCAAGATTTGCTGGACAGGTACCACCAGAGCGCGAGGCAAGAGCGCTATGAGATCATCACCAACATGATCACCGCTAAGATGGGGAGTGGAGAATCCCTAACTGCTCATTTGCAAAGAATGCAAAGATATGTGATCGTCTTCTCAAACTTAATGTTAAGTTTGATGAGGATTTGGCTATCGACATCATCCTCCACTCCTTGCCTTCCTGCTACAGCCAGTTCAGAATGACCTACCACATGAATAAGGAAGAGGTCACCCTAAGTAAGCTTCAAGGGCTCCTGAGGACAGCTGAGAGCAACCTCAAGGACAAATCTGTTGCATCATCCTCTACTGTAGCTGCTCCTGTGTTGGCAATTGGCCAAGGAAAGGGAAAGAAGAGGAAGGCTCCTTACAAGAGCCACCATAAGGGTAAGACCCAAGATGGTTCTTCTTCTAGTGGGACCAAAGCAGGTTCTGTTAAGCCCTCTTCTGACCCCAAGGAAGCAGAGTGCTTCTATTGCCACCAGAAGGGCCACTGGAAACGAAGCTGCCCTAAATATCTGCAAGATATTAAGGATGGGAAGATAAAACCCACCTTCGCAGGTATGTATTTAATTAAATCTAATAACTCATCATTTGCTACTTCATGGGTTCTTGATACAGGGTGTGGTTACCACATTTGTTCTGATATGCAGGGCCTAAAAAGAAGTAGGGAAGTGGAGCATGGAAGGATAAGCTTGATCATGGGAAACAAGAAGTCTTCACCAGTAACCAAGATCGGAGTTTATTCCTTAGTGTTGAGTAATGGGTTAGGGCTAGATTTAAATAATTGTTGCTATTCGCCAGATATGGCAAGAAACATCATTTCTTTTCATGGTTTGTTTAGACAAGGTTTCAGATATTCATTTGATAATAGTAATGGTTCTATTAATGCTTATTTGAATGGTGTCTTTTATTTCAATGCATTACCTTGTAATGGGATTTATGAATCTGTGTTAGTTATTGATAATTTAGGAAATGATGATTCGTCCACAAGTTTGGACAAAGCATGCTTGTGGCATTGTCGCCTTGGCCATGTGAACAAGAAACGCATAGCCCAACTCCAAAAGGATGGAGTCTTGGAGTCTTTCGACCTTAGGGACGATGACGTGTGTGAGTCTTGTTTACTTGGGAAGATGACCAAGTCACCCTTTACTGGCACATGTGAAAGGGGTGAGGGTGTATTGGATCTCATACACACAGATGTATGTGGACCCTTTAGATCCACCACAAGGGACGCTTGTCGCTTCTACGTGACTTTTACAGACGATTATAGCAGATATGGATATATCTACTTAATCAAGCAAAAGTCAGAAACTTTTGAAAAGTTCAAAGAGTTCAAGAATGAAGTAGAGAATCAGTTGGGCAGGAAAATCAAGATGCTTCGATCTGATCGAGGGGGAGAGTACCTAAGTCTTGAGTTTCACGACTATCTGAAAGAGTGTGGAATAGTTTCACAATTGACGCCTCCTAGAACGCCACAATTGAATGGTGTGGCTGAGAGACGTAATCGAACCTTGTTGGACATGGTTCGCTCTATGATGAGTCGTGCTTCGTTACCAATCTCATTCTGGGGGTATGCCTTGGAGACTGCCGCCCATATCCTTAACTTAGTTCCCACCAAGAAGGTTACCAAAACCCTCACGAGATGTGGACAGGGAAAGCTCCCTCGTTAGCACATATCAAGGTTTGGGGTTGTGAAGCTTTCGTAAGACGAGAGACTCACGACAAGCTAGAACCTCGTAGTGAGAAGTGTTATTTCATCGGCTATCCACAGAAGTCTTTTGGTTATCTCTTCTATAGACCAAATGACAATGTTGTCTTTGTTGCTAGGAGAGGGTTTTTCAGAGAAAGAGAACTCATAAGCCAAGGAGACAGTGGGAGTCAGATTGACCTTGAAGAGCTTCAAGAGTCAGGAGAAGAAGGAACCTCTGACACTGGCATGCAACCTGAGGAGGAAACTCCTGTTGAACCTATTGACCAGTCCTTACCTCTTAGACGTTCAAGTAGAGTTGTTGTTCCACCCCAGTTTTATGGTTTCCATATTACTACTGACGGGGATACGTTTATTAGTGATAGTACACTAGTAAATCTGGACGAACCTAACAGCTACAAGGAAGCCATGGCAGGCCCAGAGTCTGTTAAATGGAAAGAGGCAATGGATAGCGAGATTCAGTCCATGTATGACAACCAAGTTTGGAATTTGGTTGACAATGTGCCAGGTCGTAAGACGGTCGGGTGCAAGTGGATCTTCAAGAAGAAGACAGACATGGATGGGAAAGTGCACACTTATAAAGCGCGATTGGTCGCGAAGGGCTTTACTCAAACTCCTGGAGTTGACTATGATGAGACCTTCTCACCAGTTGCGAAAATAAAGTCTATTAGGGTAATGCTTGCGATAGCTGCGTTTCATGATTATGAAATTTGGCAGATGGACGTAAAAACCGCTTTCCTAAATGGGAAGTTGGCTGAGGATGTTTACATGAATCAGCCAGAGGGGTTTTGTCGATGCAAAGCATCCAAATAGAGTGTGCAAGCTTGAGAAATCCATTTATGGATTAAAGCAAGCGTCTCGCAGATGGAATCTTTGTTTTGACGAGAAGGTCAAAGAGTTTGGCTTTCTGCGAAATGAAGATGAGTCATGTGTATATGTCAAGGCCAGTGGGAGTATAGTGAGCTTCCTCGTATTGTATGTCGATGACATACTACTCATAGGAAACGACATCCCAACATTGCAGGAGGTCAAGTCCTGGCTTGGGAAGTGTTTCGCTATGAAGGACCTCGGAGAGGCTGCATATATTCTGGGAATAAGGATAGTGAGAGACAGAAGTAAGAGACTGATAGGACTCAGTCAGGATACATACTTGGAAAGGGTACTAAAACGTTTTAGTATGGAAAATTCCAAGAAAGGGGAGTTACCAATCCAATGCAATACCAAACTGAGTAAGACTCAGAGCCCGAGTACAGAGGCAGAAATAGCTGATATGAGCCGAGTACCTTACGCTTCCGCAGTTGGCTCAATTATGTACGCTATGACCTGTACTCGCCCTGATGTGGCTTTCGCTTTGAGCATGGTCAGCAGATATCAAGGGAATCCTGGTAGGGCACATTGGATTGCTGTCAAGAATATTCTTAAGTACCTACGAAGGACTAAGGAATGGTTTCTAGTCCTGGGTGGGAGTGATGACTTAAGGGTGCGAGGGTACAGTGACGCTAGTTTCCAGACAGATCGGGATAATTACCGATCGCAGTCGGGCTGGGTCTTTACCCTGAATGGAGGAGCAGTGACTTGGAAAAGTTCCAAGCAAGAAACCGTAGCTGATTCAACGTGCGAATCAGAGTACATTGCGGCGAGCGAGGCGTCAAAGGAGGCTATATGGTTGAAGAACTTCATTGGAGACCTTGGAGTTGTGCCATCCATAAAAGAGCCCATGGAAATTTTCTGTGATAATGAAGGAGCGGTTGCCTTAACCAAGGAACCAAGGGATCATGGCAGATCTCGATATCGACAGGAAATACCATTTTATTAGACATCGAGTAGAAGAGGGACTCCTCGTTGTGAAGAGGGTATCGTCAGAAGATAACCCAGCAGATCCCCTCACGAAGGGACTGAGTAGGGTTAAGCATTTGCAGCACGCTAGGAGCGTAGGGCTGAAGGACGATATTAGTTTAGATTAGATAGGTAGGAAACTTGTAATGGATGATCATGTATTCAACATTTGATGATTAAATAAAGGTGTGTTATTTATAAGAAAGCTTCTATCTTGTGTTGATTATTTATCTATTGTTTCAATTTTGCATGTTTTGACTTCCTGAATAATAAGATTATTCGAACAGTCCACAATCGTTCATATATTGGAAGTAGATATGAAGGAAGATTGTCATAAATTTGTTTGTAGATTGTCTGAAAAGTTTTAGACATAGCAAAGGTTTGCTGCAAAGTTTATGAGTGCTTATGAATTTGTATTGAGCATTGGAATAGACCCACACTTGCTGGATCACTTCATGAATGTTATCACAAGTGATCGCAAGATGATAATATCATATAATCTTTAAACCTAGAGATATGGTTATTGTTTGCTAGTTGATTATACATTGATAATGCGAAAACGCATCAGTAACTTGATGTTATAAAACGCATTATTGTGTGTGGTTTAACTAGTAAATGATAAAGGCATATTAGTCGACGTTTTTCTGTTCCTTTTATTCTATGAGAATAAAGCGATATCTTGGCCACTTGATGATTTGGTTGACTTATGTGAGGCCCGGCCCGGTCAGGATGAAGTTGATGTGTTCAACTGAGTTCTATGTCGAACAAATCAGAGATCAAGAAATAAAATGCTAAACAATAAGTATTGTTAGCATGATATCTAGAACAGAGGATTATACGATCCCTTATCTGAAGGACAGATTATTGGTCAGAGTTGACAGCGGCTATTGAAAAGCTACGATTGCTAATCGGATACGGAAGTCATATGTGAGATGTAGTTACTAGACTTATCCAAGTGGGAGACTGTTGGATTAGTGTCTAAGTCCGTAACTATATTTGGTATGTACTTGACCCGAGTGTGCATGGTCCTTTTGGGTTGCCTTCACCAAAGCAACTTGACAAGGTAATTTGATATGAGAGAGAAGATATTATGGTTTATTAATATATTATAAGAATATATATTAAAGGAGAAATCATATTTATTTAATTAGTATTAGTCATAAATTAATTAGGAATTAATTTGGTGACTAAAAGAGATTAATTAAATAAAGGGGTATAACTGTCAAATGTGTGATAGTTGAGTTTTGGGCTGGGAAACCTAATGGACTAAGGGGGAACGAAATTATGATGAGGGATCATCATATTTTCGTCCAAAGGCCTCATTCCAGAAGGTTCCTTGGGCTGCTTGGTGGCTAAGCTATCCATTAGGGTTTAGACTGAAACCCTAGCACCCTACAGTATAAATAGATGCCCTATGCTTCAATTTTAGGCCACTTGATTCCAAGGGAAACCTAGGGCCGAAATTAGCATCCTTCCCTCTCTCTCTTAATTGCCTTCTTGCTTCAAGGTGTTTGTGAGCCATTAGAGGCACTACAATGTGGTGCTTGCTTTCAAGAGTTCAAGAGATCAAGGAAACTAGTGTTATTGCTATATAACAACAAAGGTATGTTACTACACTTCTATATATTTTCGAAAATTATAGAAGCATGCTAGGGTTTATTTTGTGTTCATATAGTTGTATGTCTTATAGTGAAAACATAGATCCAATTAGGGTTGCATGCACACATAGGATTGTTTGTATAAAACCTATTAACTAGAACATAACAAAAGTATTAAGGTTGTTGAACAGCACAATTGGGCTTAGAGACATATGGTCAAATCTGGGTGGATGTAGCTGATAACTACTTTCCTAGGAGTGACTAGCATGTGCCTAAGAATGGTTGTGGTGTTGCAGCAAGACTAAAAATTACAATACTACTACAAGAACATCTGAATAAGAATACTATAGGAGTATTCTGCATTCTATTAACTACATATGTGAGAACTAAAAGAGTCGTTACTAGTAGGGCAATAGTTGCTAAGTGGATACACCACGGTTACCTGTGACTAAGACGCTATAGACTTAGAATCTGTGATCTTTGCTTTACTTCCTGTTCCTTGTTTGGTTGTGAATTTAGAGTTAGGGTCACTTATTCGAAGGTCTATCCTGTCTCAATTACATGTAATTGGTATGCATTATGCAAGTATTGGGTCGACTAATAACGATCATCTTATAAGTATCTTAGGATTAGTACGTCTACTAACTATCTTCCCTCCATTCTCGCATAGATACAATGGCTGATTCAAGGGTAACCCACAGAGGGGTGCCCGTCGCCAGCAG